GGCATAGCCATACAACTGAATCTTAGCCTTAAAAAGGGAATGAAGTCCTGACACATGCTGCAACATGGAGGAATCTTGAAAACATTATGCTAAATGAAACAAGCCAGACACAAAATGGCAAATACTGCAGGATTCCACTTAAGTGACATATCTATACTAGGCAAAATAATAGAGACAGAACATAATTAGAGGTTACCAGGGGTTGGGAGGAGGGTGGAATAAGAAATTACTGTTGCTTAACAATTACAGAGTTGTTGTTTGGGGTGATGAAAAGTTTTAGAAATAGTAGTTATGGTTATACGATAATGTGAATGTAAATAATGCCACCAAATTACACATTTAAAAATGGTTAAGTGACACATTTATGGTTGTGTGTGTGTGTGTATAAAATCACAATAAAAACTTTAAAAGAAAACAGAGCCCTGTTTCCTTTTATCAGAAATGTTATCAGAAATTGGAAAAAGGGAGAATCTCACTACATAATGGATGAAAGGTGCCAAAATTGTTACTTATTGTAATATGAAAAGCAAAACACATAAGTTGAGTTGCATAGCTAAGGAAATTTCCAAGCAAAGCGTTGAAGGTGCTGCTTGGTTTCCTCATGCTGCTTACAGTGAAATGCAGGTGAGGAAAGAAAGACTGAGGAATGGATTATTAAACTAAAAGAACAGAGACTGGATGATTTGGGAAATCAGCCAATTTTAATGGCAAAAGATGCAAAAAAGTATGAAATAGCTTTCACAGTCCTTTCAAGGACTGTTAGAGAAGGCTGGAATATAATAAAATTTGAGGTAGTGATTGTAAATCCTTTTATTGCAACCTCAGAAAGATGAAAGAATTAGAGCAGTATTGAGTTGCATAAATGGTCCTTTCTAGAGCAAGTTTGTGCCTTACAGATCCTCTCAATTACACCAGGTCACCTCTAGTGAGCTGGAAGGTGTTGTCTCTCAGCCATCTCAGCAGCATCCCAAGGTTGAGAAGGGCTATCTCAAAAAGGTCTGTGAATGTAGTTTTTGTTTAGTGGAGTAAACTTTGCAGAAATCCACTAAAGACCCATAACGTTTTTCAGAAACTTATTTCCACAAAGATACCAGCAGCTTGGATGGAAAGGGACAGAGAAAGTACACATGAAAGGCTGCTGAAAACCCCACACATTCTACTGGCAGGAAGGAAGCTGATAAAACTACTGAGCTGTAAGTACATGCTCCCTTCAAGAAAAAGAAAGGATGATTTGGGAAGTGGAACTAAGAGCTCAGAAGGCAGAGCAAGAACTATGGAGCATCATGCCTCCTCCTTGAACTTAATTAAGCAACTACCAACACTTGCTCAGCTAGATTCCAGAATTTATATGAGACAGTGATTCCTTTATAATTTCCATTTCTCCCACCCCCAACTGCCTTTTTGAACAGAAATGTCTAAAGCTATCATCCTTTGCCTGACTCTCCAAGTGTGCTAGTGGCAGATAACTTCTCCCTTTGACTTTAGAGATTAACAGACTGATGGGGACTACACCCAGATAGCCTCTTCCATGTGGGCCTGATGTAAATGATAAGGTTCTGGACTTTGGGGAGATGGGCTATTGAGATAAGACTGAGGGACCTTGAAAGTGGGTGAAATGCATTCAGCACATGAAGAGTAGGGATGCGAGTAACTAGAGAACAGAGAATCAACCGTGGCAGATAGACTCTGTGGTGACCCCAGTGAGTTCTGCCTCCTGACGTTCATACCCTCTGTCATCACCTCCTCTAGGTTGTGGAGGTCTGTGTCTTACTTCCAAACAACAGAGGATGGCATACGGGTGGGATGTCACTTTTGTGATTATGTTACATTAAGTGTGTAAAGCCCATCTTGCAGGGAGACTGTCTTTCTTGCTGGATTTGTAAAGGCAAGTGACAACACCAGGAAGGATCCCTTGGCAAGAAACTGAGAGTGGTCTGTGGATAACAACTATGTAAAGAACTGAGATATGCAGTTCGACAGCCCATAAAGAACTGAATACAAACAACCACCACATGATCTTGGAAGTGAATCCTTCCCCATTGGAGCCTCAGATGAGATCACAGCTTCTGGCCCATGTTTTGATTGAAGCCTACTGAGGCCCCAAGCGGAGGATCTAGCTAAGTCATACAGGAAATCCTGACCCATGGGACTGTGCGATTTCTAAAAGAAATGTGTGTTGTTTTGAGACAAAGCGTTTAAGGAACTACTATTCCACAGCCGGAGAAAACTAGCAAAGATAATAACATTTGCATCTAGATAATATTTACAGGGGTCCATTTCTTCCTTTTCTTAGTAGCCTCTCTGGGAGTTGGAGCTTCTACTCAGTTCTTGCTACTCAAGAAAATATTTTCAAGGAAATTTCAGAAGAGAAAAACAAAGTATCTGTACATTCTAAAGTACATGCAAAAATTAAGCTAGAGTTGTTTTTCAGGAAAACTAATGTGAATACTTCTGAGATTTTTGTTGCCACAAAGCTCCCATCGAATAATTCCACACATTGGAGATGTCCCAGATGAAAAACCACTAACTATAATCCTACCCCTAACTTAGGGAATCTTTTGGAAAAAAACAATTCATTGGCTTGTGGCCACCAAGGATTTCTTGAGGGCTGATGTTGTTTAAATCAATATGATATAAATTTATTAATTATTTTGTATGTCTAGTTCTTAGTCTTTTGTATTCTCCCATGGAGATCATGGTCTCCTTCAATCTTGAGTTTAGTCCTCAAATATCTCCATTGTTGGAATCAGAATGCTTTTATATTTCTTAGGTAGAGAGACCTTTTATTTAACATGGCAGGGATATCTCAGAACCCATTGTTTATGAAGACCACAGAGGAAACTTTAGGTACTTGTTTTTTCTGGTTTTCATTAAGTTCCCAGTAGCCCCCTAGAAAGACTACTCAATAGATAAGCTTACATTTTATAAAACTTTTACATAGTTCCTGCTCTTACTGTCCATTTATTATTTAAATTCAAATTTTCCTCCATTGAGCAAATGCTAATCTACAAGTAAACATTTCTTCTGTATGAAAGGAATATTTTACATGTAAGTCCCTCAAACATACTTGCCATCTTTATTCCTCTTTTCCTGAAGACATCGCTGTATGAAAAATCCTACGTGGATATAAACCTACACATATGTTCGCCACAGGGTTAAAGAGCCTCTTCCTTCCTGTGCCTTCAGCCTGGGAACAGTGATAACACATGCTAAGTTTGCAGTGGTGTCTGAACTCCAGGGAAGCCTTTGCACAGATGGAAGTGACTTTGCCTGGATGGGCTGAAGAGGTTGAGCATCCCTTAGCTGAAATGTTCAGGACCACGAGTGTTTCGGATTTCACATTGTTTCAGATTTTGGAATATTGGTGAATATATATGTATGTATGTATGTATGTATGTGTGTGTGTGTGTGTAGGGAGAGAGAGAGAGACAGAGAGATATCTTGGGGATAGGACCTGGGTCTAAATACAAAATTCATTTATGCATCATATACATCATATACACAAAGGCTAAAGGCAGTTTTTTATATTTTAAATAATTTTTTTTGCATAAAACAAATTTTTTTCTGCATTTGACTGCCACCAGTCAAAAGTTTTTTGACTGCAAAAGTTAAAATAAATCAATAAATAAATGAAAACAGTGTGAAATTTTCCACTTGTGGCATCATGTCAGTGCCAGAAAAGTTTTAGCTTTTGAAGCATTTTGGGTTTCATATTTTCAGATCAGGGATGTTCAGCCTGTACTAGGTGACAATTTATAGCGTTTAAAAACTTCCAAGCAATTTAAAATTGTACAAGGCTTGGGAATAATAGGGAGACAATTCTTCTATAATAGGCTTTCCCACTCATCAACTGGTGTTAGAAAATGACAGGCTCGCACAAGACTGTCTCAGGGACTGCTGCCAAAATGACAAACCCTGCTTGGTAAAATCATCTTCATTTCCTCTTAGTCAAAAGGAGTGAAATCTTAATTGGCAAGTGAGGAACACACTTGAAGAAAGAAAGAAATGAGTCTCCTTAGTTGATTTAAGGTTGTAATAGATACCTAATAGCTATCTAAACAGTAAGTCTGTTGCTTTTGTTCATGTAAATACTAATGGTATAAAAATAACTATATACAATATTTTTATTCGAGGTTCCACTGAGCTCATGTCATCAAATACAAACTTACTATGTTTTAATTAAAAGGCACTGGAAGCCAATCAGTAAGTTTATATTAGTATAGCAGAATAAGTATCCTGAAAGCACTATGAAATTAGCCTATTTGGATTCTTTCCCAATAGTGATCAATTGGAATACACATTAATAGTATATCTTACACATATTAAGACAGATTCAATGATCTTGCAAAACAGATTACATGATTACGATTACAGAGGTTAAGCCTCAAACCAATGTCTAATTCTACACCAAGAAACAAATTGTTAAATCCAAGACTAAATCAAAATGTCGCCATGGTGTGTTGAAAGCTCAACATACACATGGGAAAGAAGCCCCAATTTGGGTTGTGCTGCAGCTTCATTGAGAGTTATTTCTGATAATGCCCTCCTGTGCCTCCCAGAGGATTAACCAAGTTCTGATAAAAACCTTACCGCACCTGCCCAATAGTGTCTGCATCTGGGACCTTCATAGGTCCTCGTCTGATCTGAAGCTTTGAGATGGGTCTGGCTGAATTCTAAAAAGAATAAGCCTCCTGCAGGGCACTTCCAGAGTCTCCAGGAGCCTAGCACAGCACAGAGGTCCCTGGGTCTCGAATTCCTTAGCAATTGCTCAGTGGAACCAACCCAGCTGTGTAGGCACCAGAGCAGCCCAGTGTTGCTGTCAGTGAGGCTTTGATCACAATTAAAGTATGCCAGGAAAAGAAGAGGATGACTGGCACAACGGAAAGGGATGCCATATATAAGCTAAGCTAGATCCAAAGCTAAAACCGCTGGGAACTCGATCTGGCCAGAATGAGAGTAAGCATGAGGTTGACGGTGCTGGCATCAGGGTGGGCACGTACCTTTCCTCGCGGTTCTGTCCCACGCACACCCGGCCCCCGTGCCTGGGAGTGGGGTTGCTGCAAGAGCGTTGCCGCACCTGGAAGCCGATCCCACAGGTAGTGCTGCAGGGAGACCACGAGGTCCAAGGAGTCCAGCCTCCATTCCTGAGGAAGGGGAAGCAATGCAATCACAGGTCAGGTGGGCTCAGAGACTGAGCCCTGTCTGCACCCACGGCTAAACACCTATGTTCCCAGGAGGATCGTGCCTGGGGCTGCTGGCCAGAGGGAACATCAGCCATGGGCTGAATGGACTGCACCCTGTGAATCTCAATTCCTGTGTCTGCAGCACCCAGGCATTTATAGTCGAGATAGGAAATTTGGGAATAAAGTTTTTAGTGCACTACAAATAAAGAACTACAGTAGAAACTCTCAAGAAACTTGAGTTATGAAAATATTAAATTAATAAAGAATAAGGTTATTTCACTGAAAAGCATTTAGAAATGAATCCCTACTCCTCTAGAGTTTCCGACTTTTTGGACTTGTATTATATCATTTATAAACTATGAAAAGTGCACCTTTGAACAAAATGCTCATCTAAAACTGCCTAACATGGTTACTTTTAAAATCTATTAATATCAGTGAAAATCAGTAACTCTCCTGAGAGCATTCATATTGATAAAGAGTGTTGTATTGTTAGTATAATGCTCAAAGCCTTAAAACAAGCTTTATTAAAAATTTCAAAAGGACATTTAAATTCAGATTCTTGGATATCTTTTAACAAAATGACAGAGACATATAGAGTGCAGATAAGAAGTGCAAACTGCGTATAACTATGTATTTATGGCATTACACATATAGAATAACGTAGATACATAAAAATACAAAATGAAAATTGAATAAACCAATTTTTAAATTTTTAAAAATTCTATTTACAACCCTCTAAATGTTTTAGTATTGTATTTTTTTCCTTAAAATGACTGTATTCAGACTGCTTATAACTTAAGTATCCCCCCTTAACAGTTTGTCCCTGCTATCAAAAATATATAGAGGTTTTTTTAAATTTTATGTGTGAAAATACATATTAAATCCAGATTGCAAACTTACACATAGATGGTCTACTTCGTGCAGATTTTTTTTTTTTACTTCTGCAATCACATATGCATTTCTTTGGATATTTGTCACCTTTGGCCATAAGATTTACATTTCCTTTGAAAAAATACTAGCTCACATTAATTCTTATTTTTACTTTCTGTATTTCCATTGAGAACATGAAGCTCTACAACTATGCCACTGAAGGTCCTGGTATAAATAGTGCATTGAATATATAACAGTAAAAATAACTTCAAATAAAAATTCTTGTGAAAAAATTCTTAAGATATTTCATATTTTCCTGCTTTATTTACTGAAAGCTAATGATTTAATAAAATATGTAGTAATACTTTTATATATATAATAAAGCTGCTTTATAATAATTTAACCAAAAGTATCACACAACATTCCCACATTTCTCAAATCAGGTAGTATCTTATACTTTGCTGGCTACAGTCTTAAAAATTATCCATGTTATTCACTGAATTACAGTAAAAATTTTAAATAGAAGTTTTAGTATACATAAATGACATTTAACTTGCAAAATTTTGTTATATATGAAAAACAGTTGTTAGATAATGCAGAAAATGGTGTTTTTAAAATCATTTGAAAACTCTTCATTTCTTAAATCTTTTAGCAAATGTGGAATTTTATGACATATTCTATTTACAATATATGGAATATGTTTGTTTACAGGGTAGTAAATAAATAAAATTATATACAATCGGAAAATAATATGTGAGGAAATAAGTGAATGCAGCTTTACACATCTACGTGTATTATCCGGATCCGAGTTTTCATATTTCTAAATGCTATTTGGAAGCAGACGTAGTTACCAAAATAGTCACATAAAGTAAACAGAGATCAAGAGGGGGATCAATGTTATGATTATTAGTACAAAGCAATCCACTTACGCCTCATTCAAACTAGTTCACTTACTAGATTTTTATCTTAAAACAACTACTAGTTACACTGCAGTTTTGCTTAGAAAATGACTTTCCAACTAACGCAAGAACTGAAGACACGTCAATCAATAAGTTATAGCAATGCATTTGATACTCTTCTTTTTCCATTAAACAATATGAAAAAAGAGTATTAGCTACTTATTGTAATCTTCAAACAACAGCAGTTTGATTGCTTTTGTAAGTTTCTGCCAGGCATCCATGGAAATAATTTCGTTTTACAGGAAGTACACGATACATAATACAATGTTTATATGCCTGTGTAATCTGTAACACAAAAGAAAACCTCTAATCTCTGTGGCCCTGATTTACTCCATTCAACTTGGTGGTGAGAAAAATGTGAGCAGAGGGCAAAGTTCGCCTTTTGCTCCTGTGCTTTCCTTTCCTGGTCTGCTTCCTCTTAGGCGCACACAGCTCTGTGGCCTGGGCTCTCCTACGATTCGATCACCCGATCTGACTTCCACTGTTAGTCACTTCATAAACAAATTGTCCCAGAGTTTTCTATTTTTTTTTCATTTTAAATGGGCTTATGGAAAGCAGATCACATGTTTAAAAAATACTGCAAATTAATGAACAAGTGACAAAGGAGCATGAAGACTGATCTCAGAAGTGTTCCTGATACTTGCTTTAAAATGCCTCTGTGGTGAAGGTGCTGCAGGTGCAGGGGATGGAGCACAAACAGAACAGAGTTACAAAAAAATCAAGCCAACAACATCACAATAAGCAGAAGCAACAGGAAAACTATTCAGTAGGTTACGTTCTTTCAGCTGCTCTCTCGATTAGCCAGGGCCTAATGTTTGCTGAGGTGAAGTGCTCTGAGCTCTGATATACTACAGAGCAGACCAAGTTGATCAAGGGTTATTGGGTTATTCTATCTTCTAACCTAGTGTTATTATTCTACCACCAACGGACTATTAGTCCATATATTCCCAGAAAAGATTCGTAAATAACATGGATGTTTTCCTTAAACAAGCCAATCGTATTGTTTAAATTATAAATACTTTTCCTATTCTAATGAAGAGTATGTGAATAAGTGTAGGTCTGTAATCCAATTTATAGTTAAAATCTCCTTCCAAAGATCATGTAATTTTTAAGTGGTGAATGTCCCTGGTGTTTCACCACAGTTCTCTCCAAAAGGGAGTAATATTATGAATGATGTCCCAAGCGCCTCAAGAATCTGAGTTTAGTGCACAGCAGTACAACTGGCATGTTCTGGGGGGCACACCTGGAACAGTTGGCGATCTCCATGCTGGGGCCCTCGCACTGCCAGCCCCCACACTGTGGGGCTGGGCTGTCACAGGAGCGGGTCCGACACAGGCAGGATCCCACGGCGCTGCCATCTGTGTGCGTGCAAGGCGTCCACGGAGACCACATGCCGAAGGCTCCATCCACGGTGAGATTCCTGATCTAGGAAGCAAAACCAAGCAGGGGTGTCAGAAAGGGTTAAAGTCTAACATATAATAGAGTAAAAAAGAAAATCCCTCATAAGACAAGCAAAACTCCTTTTGGATTTCTTTTTGTCATTGTTATAACTAGAAAAAGATTGCATGAGTCAGCATTGAGTAAAGCAGCAAAGGTCAGTGCTGGAGATGGAGAGGAAGAAGCAGGGAGGGGCCTGGGGAAGGTGCAGACAGAAGATGAGAAGAAGAAAAGAAAAAGAAGAGAAAGATGAAGAAGGAGAAGGGAGAGGGGGAAAACAAGGAGAGGGAAAAGGAGGAGAAAAAGGAGAAGGAGAGGGATGATGGGAGAAGGAGGACAGAGAAGAGGGGAGGAGTGAAGGATACCGGTGACTTGGCAATCAGGTTACAGCCGAATTGTCTGCTAATGCGGAAAACCCAAAAACCAAGAGAAACTGGAGTGAAAAATCACAGCTGCATAACGCCACTGCATGTTTATGTGCCTTTAAAAAAATGAAAGCTTCGTAACATTTATCATGAAAGACTCGGTTTGGCTTTCAAACTGAAAGCATTCAATTCAGAACATATTTAAAGAGTATCTATGAGCAGCTACAGTGCTTCTTTCTTAGGCATATCCCAGTCAAACCTGTGCTCTAATCAACTCTAAGAGCTTACGAGTCAGTGAGGACCAGCTAGACACATAAGTGTTGCCCCATGTGGAATCCAATGCTGGATTCAAAAACAGGGGCTATGGGAGTAGAGGACGGGACATACAACAGGCTCACAGGTTCTGGGAAGAGCAACAAGGGGCCTGTTCTGAGTCTTAAAGAATGAAGAAAGAGCCAAGTAGAGGGGATGGCAAGGGCTGGCAAGGCTGAGGGCAGAGGAATGAGGCTGCCAAATGCGAGGGGTGCCTGGGCATTCCCTGTCAGTGTGGGGTGAGCTGGTGATTCCGGGAAGCAACACCAAGGACTGAGGAGGAGTCCAGGGCAGGGTCCTCATGGGGAGGGGTCAGGGAGCCCCCTGAGCTTGCTGATGTGGCACCTCTGAGGGCACTCAAGGGGAGGGCAAGGCATCGCTGGGACATGCATGACCAGCTCTGGTGTGGCAGAGGCACCGGCGTGTACCCGGCTCACTGAAGAAGGGGCAGCTTCCTGCCAAATCTGATAAGCACATCTGCTCAGGAGGTGGCAGTGCTGCTGGAGGAGACTCACGGGACACAGCCTAGATCACCTGCCCAGAAACCAGCAAAGGAACCTCTCCTCAGAAAGGCATAGGAAGAAGCCCAAGTCTCCTGCTTTGTTGTTGCTGTTGTTGTTTTGAGACAGAGTCGCCCAGGCTGGAGTGCGGTGGTATGATCTAGGCTCACTGCAACCTCTGCCTCCCAGGTTCAAGCAATTCTCACGTCTCAGCCTCCCAAGTAGCTGGTAATAGAGACACATGCCACCATACCAGCTAATTTTTGTATTTTTAGTAGAGACAGGGTTTCACCATGTTGGCCAGGCTGGTCTCAAACTCCCAGCCTCAAATGATCTGCTGTCCTTGGCCTCTCAAAGTGTTGGGATTACAGGCATGAGCCACCATGCACAGCCTCCAAACCTCCTAATTTTAATATGGAAACTTAAGCATCCCTCAGAAAATTCGACCAAGGAAGGGCTTTGGTGATGAGTGAACTGCATGCTTTCACCTTGCCCCCTGCAGCCGGCTGCCCCCCACCTCCTCCACCAGGGACTCGTCCTCACAAGAAACAACTCCACGGATGACACAGTTCATTCTCTGAGCTACACACTATACCCATACTTCGCCATTTCGAAATAATGCTGACACTGTATTTTGTGTGTAAAAATATAGACAAACTTTACTTTTGATTTGTCATTGCCTCCAAATACAATAGGAACTAAACATGAAAAGCATTCATTTTTTTCTGACATGACTGGTTGGCCAAATCCAATTGCTATAATTATGACTCTATCCCTCCTTTCTAACCAACCCTCTAACATTTTGTATCTATTAAGGTGGATGAGATTGGGAATGTCCCCCATGCCTGGCTATGTGTATAAGAAACTATGGATCAAGGGATGGAATGGAGCTGCACTATCTGTTAGAGGAATTTTTTTCTTTTTTTAAAAAACTTTTACTTTAAGTTCTGGGATACATGTGCAGAACATGCAGGTTTGTTACGTAGGTATACATATGCCATGGTGGTTTGCTGCACCTATCAACCCATCATCTAGGTTTCAAACTCCACATGCATTAGGTATTTGTCCTAATGCTCTTCTTCCCCTTTCCCCCACCCTTCGACAGGTCCTGGTGTGTGATGTTCCCCTCCCTGTGCCCATGCTTTCTCATTGTTCAACTCCCAATTATGAGTGAGAACCTGCAGTATTTGTTTTTCTGTTCAAGCAATTCTAAGTGATACGCTGGATCCTATCCAAAAGGAAAATATCCCAATTTCCAAGGTTGCAGTGACCCACTTGTTGGCCAAGATGTAAAGACAGCACCTACTCTTATCATAAGGTTCCCAGAAGACTATAGTGTTTTCTTGGAGAACCAAGCCTTGCATGACAATGTGACTCAAGCCACTAACTTAGCAGATTCTGTTGTTAAAGAGGCAAAGCCCCTGACATTTGGGATTTTCAACTTTCTCCCTTCACCCATTTATTAGCCCTCCCTCTTGTTTCCCGCCAAAGGACTCCTGTTCATGGAGCCAGCCGCAAGCAATAACGGCGGTCAGACAGAATATTTGCATAATAGTAGCATGATATATACGTCCATACTATTTTGACTCTTCACAGTGTGGGCTCAGTTAAGAAGCCTTCTAGGGATGCTGAAGTTCCCAGGGAACACCACCACGGGGAGCTGTGATCATCCTAAGCCTGTAGGTGGGAGGGAGGACAGGGTTGCTGGAGCCATCCTTAGTTGAGGGGGGTAAGGGAGTGATACCCCTGTCTCATTCCTCCTACCCATGCCTCTCATTACCTGAGCCCAAGGCCACAAGACAACAAGGGAGAGGGGATTGGACATTGGATGTGAGGAAGGTCAGACCCTTGGGGCAGAGAGTGGGTGGGGAGGAAGACTAATTGAGAAGCTCTGTGGGACATTTGGTCATCCCTTTGCCTCACTTCTCTATGAAGGTGTAACAGCCCCACAAGTTCATCTTGCCCTCTGCTCAGAAAGCCAAACGCACTGGGAACAACAGGAATGACAGCAAAGAAAGAGGTGAATTATTACAGGGCCAGGCAAGTGAGGAAAACGGAGACTCCTCAAACCTGGCTCCCTGAGAATCAGAGGTCAGGGTTTTTTGAGTGTACTTTGGCAAGCCGGGGCTGGGGAATTGAAAGAGTTGGTGACATTGCAGCGGTGTTAAAACTACCTTCAGGTGGCTGAGTCTGTTCCTGGAAGGGGTCTCAGGACTAGTGGGCAGCTTTTGGTCAGCTGAAGTGCTAAATCTAAAAACTATCTCAAAGACCACTTCTTAAGTTTCACAACTGCAATGTTATCTATTGGGGTAGTTAGAGAAGTTATAAATCTTGTGACCCCTGGTTACATGACACTGCAGTAAACAGCTTAAAGAAAAGAAGGCTAAGTGACAGTAGGTCATTCATTGTTTATGCCTATTTTTTTAGCAAAGTTCAAGCCCTTACCATTATGAATACAGTTTCTGTCTCCAAGTAAGAAGACAGGGAGGTCAGTTTTCCTTGCCTCAAAATTTAACCATAAACTAAATTCCTCTCATAGTTATCTTGGCGTTGGCCTCTGTGTTATTATAAGCAAAAATAAAATAATAAAACGATTTAGCCTGCAATGTTAGAAGCAAGATGGAATCAGTCATGCTAGATCCTCTCATCACTTCTAATTCTGCAAAGGCTATTTCAAAAGTGTGTAGGTTGGGATGCTGTGGAGGTCAAAGCAGTTCTATCCTGGATGCTAATCCACTATGTTGACTCCTGATGACCCCCAGTTCTGGGAATACCTCTAAGATTTCCAGTTTACCTATTGTTCTTTGTGTAAGAGCATGTACTTACTGCAAACTCTGCCCTTTAGCAAATTCTTAGGCATTCCCTGTGAAGCACGTTTACCCTTTCCCCATGGCACATAAGCCTTGGGAATAATGGCACAGATATCTACCTGTCCTGTGGCTGCCCAAGAGCGTATTTCTTCTCTCTGATTTCCCAGTAATATCACCTATACCAACAAACTGAATTTGTCTGCCTCGCTCTTTGGTTTCTTGGGTCCTTCTGTGTTTGGGGTTTATTTGCACATACGTCCCTTTCATGAAACAGATACACTTGTGATTTTTTTAAAGGATTGTTAATCCCCCCAATATTAATCAGAAACATTTAATATCCAGAATTGGGATAGATTAGAGAATTTGAAACAAAGAAGAGTGTTTCCAAGCCCATTTGGTCTCCATTTTCTCATCTAAAATACAAAGGAAATAAGGAAACGAGCAGGGAGATTCTTAGGACCTCCTTAGCTCTAAGATGTCATGAGGAAATCCTAAACTCATGGTAATATAGACTATAGATCTAAGACTGTGAGGCCAGACGGAAGTACAATTATGATGGCGACAACCGAATGAAGATGGAAACAGAAATCACTCAGAGTTCCAGTCCACGTGCTTCCTTAAAATAATCTCCTGTCCTGGAGGGAACCTGAGAATTTCCATTTTTCCAACAAGGCTAAGGTAGGGACGCTAGCCAAGGTAAATGGATTTTTCATGAAGAAAGTACTTTGAAAAAAAGGGGATTTGCATTCATTATGGGGATTATTCCTCACCATTATGAGGTGGAACAGAGGGAGTAGGAATCTATGGTGCATTGGGCTGGCACCACCAGCCACGCCTTTGAACCTCAAACAGGGCATATAGGAGGCCAGGGTTGAATCCTGACTAGGCTACAAGCTAATCATGGCAACCCCCTCAGCTGGGCCAGTGTTGGGTCTAGAAACTGACACGTGACCCAATTCTGGCCAATGAGAATCAAGGGGGCACTGCAAGAGGTTTCCAGA